GCACTTCAGATGTGCTGACAGCTACACCTCAGTTGGTAACAGGACCTCCAACGTAGGACTGCTACCCTAAAGCTTTCAAATCTTTGCCATGCACTGATAATCCACAACATTAAAACTACTGACAGATTAGGTGCATAACATTGATTATATCATTAAAATGGCTTCTACCAAGGGGTAGGATATATTAGGCAGCAATGGAACAGTCAGTTCTAAAATTTCATGTGTTAAAAGCTGGAAAAAATAGTAAGATCTGAGTGACGTTGACAAGGGCCAAATAATTCAGGTTATAAGGAAAATTAGCTTTTTGTGGTTTGACAAAAATATAATGAAGCTGTCTTTGACTGATCTTTAAAATTATTATGTGGTTAAAAGACTGTCGTGCATTGTTACTTGACAGCCAATTACAGCTAAAGGATTGCCTTTTCCAGTATCAGTTGTATGGAGGAACAAACTTAAGTAAAAGAGAATTTCACATAATACCCTGACCACTTAGTATGGGTTCTAAGAGGCCTTCTTCTCATTTATCTTTACACTTTATACATATGTGCATTGTGTGGGATCAGCAGCTACCTGCTTGTTAAATATTTTATTTTTAATTGTTTGAGCGACCAGGAGAACTTTGAGTTAATAAAGATTCTCAAAACCTTTAATGTCCAACTTGAAGAATTGATAACAATTAATTTTTTCTGATTATGAGTCAAAGTCAGATCTGTTCAGACAGTCAACATCCTATACTTGTATGGAAAATTGACTATATTTTTAACCATACCATACTTGAACTGACTACACAATGTGAATCTGTTGCCAAGATGTGACTTTTCCACCTTTGTAGAATAGCTGACTTGGAGATTTTTATCTTAGTAAGTTTTTACGCTTGACTTTAACCAAGTGTCTTGCTGTTCCCATGTGCTGATCAATAAAACACAGAGACACATCAAATGCAAAGATGTGACATAGATGTAACAGAAACTATTAAGTACAACATATACTATTAATAGTGTTAATCTCTATGCAAACAAAATATGCTTACTGCAATTAATTATTTTCAACATCTCTATATATCACTTACTGTCTCCATCATTTCTCATCTGATAGTACACTGTCCCACATAACAAATATGTCAATGATGCTAATTTATTGAATTGGAAGTGATGACATATTCAAGAAACAGACATACATATTTCATAGGTGTGTCATGTGTCCTATATATAGGGCATATCTAAATTATTTAACTTACAACAGTTTGATGCTATACTTATTAGAACAGGACTGAAGAAAATATTTTAAACAACTACCTTGTACCTGTTTGTGCCAATTCTTAAAATTTCCTAAAATGTTGTTATATAAACTTTGGGCATTTTATTATAATTTTTTTGTACTTTGTAGTTCTAAATATTGTGTTTTTTCTATGTTATGCATATTATGTATGTCCCCAGATGGAAAATACTAATTTGTGTTTTAACAAAAATAGCTTCTTACCCCTAGAGTTTATGGAAAACATTCTGGATTTGATTTAGTGAGTTGAAAAAAAAAATACAAAATTAGGACAATGCTTTAAAATGTATCTTAATATATTATCAATATTCATATTTTCAGCTCTAATTATAGACTGAAGCCACAACAGTATTTGTTATTTTGCTGTCTGTAGTTGATTTTTTGATACAAATTTTCTAGGATTCATTAAAAGCCAAGAAGGTGCTGGAAAATGCTACAAAACTAATATATATATATAGTATAAATTAATTCAATCCTATTAACATAATGAAGAATGGTTTCTATACCATTTAATGATTGTTAAATATAGCACTTTCATGATTTACAAATTTGCTCATGTTACCAGGGGTGGTGCAGCTGTGACAGTTTACAGAACATTCGGGAGAATTATAGACTGACAAAGTGATCACTAGTGGAGGACGTGGTCAAGAAGACAAGGAATTTTCTTGCCAAGAATGACTGAGCTTGGGAAGCATTTTTTTATATCATCAGCCTGGAGACAAAGGTTAACATCATCAAGCCTCAAGAATCTGAATGAATTAATGAATGATGACATTAATCTTATTGCTAATGATGCCAGTGGTATCATATATATTGAGAAGATGCCATATGCCATCCATTTCCTGCCAGATGGACCCTTTATGTTTACAGAAGGCAGCACGGCTGGCATCTAGCATATAGTAAAACATTTTTAAATTCTTACTATTATTATTATTAATAATAATATTATTTGATCATTTTTATTGGGATCATTATTTTTTTTTATTTGATGCAAGAATTTGTATGAAATGGGAGTATTAATGTTTAATTTAAAAAAAAAACAATGGGTAAGGAAAAATGATCTTTCTGTTTCTCTATCTGTCTATCTCTCTCTTTCTTTCTATCTAAAATAACAGAGAGAGAGAAAGTTTACGTAAAGGGACACTATAGATAGCAACAGAACGTTAGCCTAAAGAAGCAGTTTTTGTTTATAGACATGCCCCTGTAGTCTCACTGCTCAATTAAATCACTTTGTTTATGCAGCCCTAATCATACCTCCCCTGCATGTGACTTACACAGCTTTCCTAAACACTTTAGGTAAAGTGAGATCTAATGTTTACACTTCCTTTATTCCACATCCTGTTTTAAGTTATAATTTCTTATCTCCTGCTTTGTTAATAGTTTGCTGGACCTTGCAAGAGCCTCGCGTATGCGATTAAAGTTCAATTTTTAGAGCAAGAGATAAAAACTTCTGAAGTAAGTTAATATCCGCTTGAAAAGGAAACCTTTTTATGCATTGTCAGTCACAGCCAGGGGAGGTGTGACTAGGGCTTCTGTTTACTGAAATAAACACCCTGCCACCGAGCTTCAGAGGCCACTTTGGAGGTGACCACAGGTATATATTTGAGGAGGCTTTGGATAGTAATGTCACTTTAATTATTTAATTATGGAGCAGATATATGATTTGCATTATTATTATTATTATTATAATATTTATAGAGCGCTGTCAAATTACGCAGCACTTTACAATGGGTGGACGAACAGACATGTAATTGTAACCAGACAAGTTGGACACACAGGAACAGAGGGGTTGAGGGCCCTGCTCAATGAGCTTACATGCTAGAGGGAATGGGGTAAAATGACACAAAAAGGTAAGGATAGTATTAGACTAGTGACAGTTACAGAAGAGGAATCAGTCAGGAGCTATTAACAGTTTAATTGATACGCTTTTATGAAGAAGTGGGTTTTTAACGATTTTTTGAAGGAGTGGAGACTGGGTGAGCATCTAATGGAGGAGGGAAGCGAGTTCCACAGGAATGGTGCAGCCCTCGAGAAATCCTGAAGGTGAGCCTCAGAGGTGGGAGTACGGACAGAAGATAGACGTAAGTCTTCAGCAGATCGTAAGAGCCTAGACGGGACATACTTGTGTGTAAGGGAGGATAGATAGGTGGGAGCAGCATTATGTAGAGATTTGAAAGCAAGAACCAAAATTTTAAATTTGCATTGTGAGTAGACACATCAAAACACTATCACTTTAATTGTTTAGCTTTGACTCTATATCTTTTTAATTGCGTTTATCACATACATTTTGGATTTTATATATTCACAATGCTGCTACAACAGATTATTTATGAGATTAAAAACATATTTTTATGTGTGCACTGTAATCTATATTATGTATACATTTTTGTCAATTACGGCAGCACCATTCCTGCGAAATGCATGTTCTGGGTGTGCCCCCAATTCCTTTTTGTCTTTACTGTTTCCGGAAATAGATAGTCTTGCTTGGGTTATGTCCGTGTTTACCAGCACATTATCTTTCCCGTGGTTCATCAGTAAAGCAGATATTTTAAACTCAACCTAACACTTAGATGAGCTGAAGCACACACACCCATAGATACATTTACAGACAAGTGCACAGATACACATTTACACAAATACTGACTTGTGACATGCACACACACAAATACATACTACTAGATTCAAACATTGACAAATATTTGTATACCAAAGTTGTGTCCCCATAGTCTGGTTAGGAATGGGCTAAATGATTGATACGAGCTATGCTCACAATAAGAGTAAAAATGTTTGTGACAGTAAAAAAAAAAAAAAATATTACCACCTTTAGCAGACATTGGTGATTATATGGGCTCAATCAAGTGAGGTCAGTCAATTTGGATATAATACAATAGAAAAAACACCCTTAACAATCACAGGTGGAAAGACATAAAGTGAGGAGGTGAAACACAACACACTTCACCTATACAAATTAATACCTCACCCTGTAGAATCAGAACAAAAAGGACTCCTTCCAGTCCTCTCAAAACATATATAGGATATAGGTTCTACAGTAGGAAGAAAAAACAAAACATCATAGTGTACTATCTGGGATAAATATTGATAGTGGTGGGGGCGGAGCCTACCATCCAGACCGAGCGGACGTGTCAGGTCCGAGCTCCGACACAAAACAAACGATTTTGGGGGTACATACCCCACTACCTGGCGCAAATCTGCTCGGGTGAGGCATAACCGTATGGGGGACGCCCGGGCACATCTTCCGATACCCAAATCACTAGCCTGACGACCCGGAGACCCACACTGCGGTTGCCGAGGCCTGCGAGACAGAAGGAGAGGGAGAGACGGCCGCTCTCCTCTCTGCCAGCCTGCTGCAGAAGCACCTCGACCCTCAAACCTCCTAACCCTCCCTCCCCCGGACCGGAGGGGGATATCCCGGTCCTCGCCGTGAGCCCGGAGTGCCACACCTGCACAGACAGACGAGACACAGTAGAACTCCAGGGCCGGCGACACACGAGGCACGCACAAGATGGCGGCTGAGTACTCACCACGACAGCGGTTCCAGCCTGCAATCCCAAAGCAGCGTCCAGACAGCAGCACCGACCTCACAAGGCGCATTGATGAGCTGTTCGCCAAGTTCTGGGAGAAACTACAGCTCCGAGCACAGAGTGCACAGACAAGTCGGAAAACCCCCAAGAGAGCAGGTGAGAAGGGCCACGTGCAGCCGACAGCGAGGGGGGCACCCTTGGGCACGGCACTGGATTACTCATCACCACGCACCCTCCACAGCCCAAAACAGCCCTCCAAAGACTCACTTCAAACTAAAGGAAATCCTGGGATACAGCCTCACAGACAGCCCAACAGAAAGGCAGTGAACCAGCGCAGACTCAAGGGTGGCAAAACATACCAAGGCAGCCCACGCAGACGGCGGAGCGTAAAACCTAACCCGGCCGCGACCACAACATCACTAACTCGAACCGGCAGCAGCCAGTGTCCACGCCGACCCACAAAAATCCCAACCGGGAACACACGCTACTCTCAGGGCGAACCGGAGCCCAGCACTGAACAACTGACAGTGCGAGGGGAGCACAACCACCCACAACGGGGCATCGGATGAACCACCTAGGACTGGGTCTCAATGACAGGCAAAGTGCCTAATATCCCTTACCTTCCCACAACCCAGATGAACTCTTACAAATGTATGCATGCACTTAAGCTTTAACATCCCTTCCCGTTGCTCCTGCCATGGACTGCAGGGGGGGGCTTCACTTGAGACCAAGCGACCACAAGATAAGCATACCTACCTATAGCCTCACCCATACTAACACAAGCTGCATTGGTAACTCAGCACACATAGCGCATACACCATAATCTCTACTGTCAAGCAGTTCATATAGCCCACCAAGCACAGTGATAGTTATTTTCACCCTTTTGCTTAGCAACTTGCAACAAACATATACAGTACGTATTAATAGCTGCATTTCAATAGGCTGTTCAAAATGTCTAGCTAGTATTGTATTGTGGTTGTCTCTCCTAACACACCATTAACAAACACAATGCCTACAACCTACATCACAACTGTCCAGCTAACTAGCACACCTAACCTGCTGAATATCATTTACCCAAATGCTATTCTAACAAGATAAATGTTCAGTCAAGTTTGTTATCTCTATATAAAAAAAAAAATGTGCAAACTTCTATGCCACAATTTAATTTCTGTAACTCCTGAAACACGCCGTTGTGGCGTCTGTTGATAACCTGTAATTATCTGCACAACCAAAATAAAGAATTTAAAAAAAAAAATATTGATAGTGGTATTCAAAGTTGCACTCACAATAAGAAGATTGATTGAAGGCACATCAATATTAAGGTTGACTAGCGATCTTCCCCACGTATAAGGGCATATAGGAGAGAAAGAAATGTAGTAATAAATGCAGACTGTTATTCACCTGGTGAAGCACTAGATAAGAAAACACTTACAGAATTGCAGAGGTGTATAAGCATGTAGTATCACAGGTGCCCAGGAATCCAGAGAGAGTCTGCCAAAGCATTCAAGTACAAATAAGCAAAAACCTATTGACTTGTAAGATTTATTAAGTATAACAATTTAAAACAAAACATAAATAAAAACACAATCAAAATAAAAATCTCCTATAAAATCCCAACCCTACGCGTTTCGTCTGTTACAATGCAGACTTCCTCAGGGGTAAAATGAAAATCAGTCTCCTGTGTAGATTCTTTGCCGCCCGGCTTGGTATTTAAATCCGTTAAACCCCTCCTCCGGATGTCGTCAGCTCGTCCGTATAGGGGAGATACAGCTGTCGCTTATTTCTTCGTTTTGTGTTCCAAGCCTCGTTTTCGACCACAATAGTGGTCATGTGAGCGTTCTACTGAATCTTATTTGCGTTCCACAGGAAAACCGAAAATGAACGTCTGCGTTCCAACAGAACGACGTTCTCAATAGGGTACTGGACTAGTCAACATAAAAGGATCACAACGTATCCCTCGTGCCATACATAAAACAAAACAAAAAAAGAGCATGTATCATGTTCTTATTTCTTTTAAAATGTACACTTTACATCCAGTCATTAAAAATAATAAAAATAAAATAGTAATAAAAATAAAAATAAAAATGAAAATAAAATAAATATAAATATGAAAATGAAAATGAAATAAAAAAAATAAATAAAAATAAAAATAAAATAAAATGAAAATAAAAATAACATTAAATAATACAAACTAACGAAAAAACTTAATCATACTAATAATAAAATGAAAAAATAAATGATCAACATGACTGAATTAGTAGAAAATGTCAAATGCAAGAGAGGACATTACTAGAAGTTCAAAAAATGGATTCTGGACTATATATAAACCCTAAAAAAATATAGTTCAATGATAGTCTAAAAGCTACAATAATAAAAAAACATATTAAGATAATAATTGCAAGGGCATTAGAGTCAACTTTTCTTCCGTATGACAAAGGTTCTCAGATTGAAGCTTTTCAAAAAATGCTTAACAAAGATTTTGAAACTTTGTGTAAGAAATGTAATAAAAAATGGGATAACCTTACAAGACTTGAAACTTCAACCTTAAAAAAGCTAAAGGAGCGGAAAGATATAATTATCAAAAATGCCGATAAGGGGGAGGGGTGGTGGTGATGTCTACGGAATACTATTTGAATGAATCTTATAGGCTGTTGGATGATTCATTAACGTATCAAAAATTGTTGACCAATCCGAATGCCACGTACAATAGAGATTTGAGACAATTTTTGGAACAAGCTAGAGAGGAAAACATTTTAAGTGATAATGTTTTTAAATTTTTATTTGTAGAATTCCCAAGAATACCCACCTTTTATTTTTTTTTAAATCATTCAGCCATATAGCAGCTCTTCAGAATTTTGGTAATGAAAAAACGATTTGGGAAATAAATCAGACAAACAAAAAGGGAGTGAAAATGGGCCTGTCAGTGTACATGTATACATATATAAATATATATATTTTTCTTCTCTTTTTTTTTTTGTTTCTCACTTAATTTGTGAATAAAATCAACTTTTAGTGACTATCAACTAGCCATCAATCATCTTTTTTCCATCAATCATCTCTTTTTTTGGTACCACAGGTGGAATTCAGAATCGAGAATCAAAATGAACATTTGTGATTCGGTTACATGATGAATTGGAAAATTATTCCTGTTTGACTGTTTTGACATTAAATTTCAAAATTACTTTGAAATTCCCTTGAATTCTCACTTTTGTGAATAACACTGCAAGCAGGGCCAGTGCTAGACTAGATAAAAAAACTGGAAAAAAAATAATTTACAGTTCTGAATAAAATAATAGTTCAGTATTAAAAATGTTGTATAAGACGTACAGTAGAAGGAAAATTTAGATCCCTTCTTGCAAACTTTACAAGAAAAAAAACATGAAAGAAAAAAAAAGTGCCGGGACAGATGCAAAAATTTAATTATCAAGAATCTTAGTGATGAAGAATTCAGACACCTTTCAGTCAGATAAACTATGAGCTCTTCTCCTCGCTTATTCATTTTTATTTGGCATTAATAACTTTATAAAACACCCGAGAAAATTGCAGTCTGAGATCATACAACTATTAAGAAAATGATAACAAAGATCAGTGAGGGCTGCAAAACGAAAAACTGAAAGAATCGTTGCTACATTTTGATGGAATAATTAACATAAGATATTCAGCTGTAACTTCGAATTGCTTTTTAAAATATAAATAAGTGCACAAAAAGTAGTTGTTATAAAGTTTATCATAACAAGAGTAAATATGGAAATATCTCATCTACCGGTTATTTTATAACTTTCTGCTTTGCAGTTAAAATTTTGGAGCGATTTTAAAAAAATAAATACAAACAAATACAGCTAGTAACCCCTTCACGACTGCTGATGGTTCAGGACCGTCATTGGAAAAATCCCATTGAGAACCGGTGACGGTCCTGAACCTTCATAACGGTATTATTTACTTACCTGATCGCCGACGTTCCCCTGTGGCGATCATCAGCGCTCCTGGTCTGGGGGGACTGCCTGGCAGCCCAGGCAGTTCCCCCTCAGCGAAATAGGACCCCGCAGTAGGCGTCCGTGAATCTGCCTGCAGGGGGCCTGCTGGTAAAAAAACATTTTAAAAAAGTCATAACAAAGCAATCAATGTTAAAAAAAGCTATATATATATCAGATATATATACATATATTATATATATATATATATGTATCTATATCTTGTATAAATATAATGTCAAATTAAGTGTATTTTTATATTTATATATACATATATTAATATAAAAATAAGATTATAATTAAATTACACATGTATATATATATATATATATATAATATATATAATAGCTATTTATATTGTATATATATATTATTATAAAATATAAATATTAAGGAAATAAAAATAAACATTTTTTTTAAATAATTAAAAAAAAATTAAATTAGATATATATAGGTAATTTTATTCTAACTGTATTTTTTTTTACATTTATTTTTTATTGTAATTTTACAAATGTAAACAAGTATTAAACAAGCATTAAACATATGAGTTCAACATTATCTTTCAGATCATAACAAGCCACAATGGTATATTGAAATATTTCAACATATTCTCGTATGGTTCATTTCTCAATGGAATAGTCTTTAAGTATTAGTTTCTGAGAAATTGCTATAATCCTGAGTTGAACTCCTTATCAAAATTTGAATCGTCAAAGAGTATATAGTACACACTCTATAAAACATAAATAATACATACGTATAAAAAACCTAAGGACAGCTATCGAGAGCAAACGGAATGGGCATTGCCAATATCGTTTCTTTAATATATTAATTCGGTCCAGAGCCATTTTTGGGAAGACATCATTAACGTTTACCAGATAAGAGTAGCTATGCAAGGGTTTGTTTACTAGAGATTAGACATTCTATTCTTTATAGTAGTCAAGCCATTTCATCCATGTCTTATAAGTACCAATATTATTATCTTTAACATAAACCGCCTTTTCCATTAAACCTTGATATTGGATCTGGGCTTTAATCTCTGTTAAGGAGGGAGGTACGTTCTGTTTCCACTTTCTGGCAATACAAAGTTTAACGGTTATCAGGATGGTGAAAAACTGAGATGGTTTATCCATTTTTTGGCAAGTCTAAATGGAATAAGAATCTTTATGGGGACAAAATCATATTCCCTTTTAAATCAACAAAGAGTTTAGATACTCCTGATTTAAGAGTGTCCAAACCAATACAATGCCACCAAATATGTTTAAGTGAGCCACATTTGTTATTGCAATGCCAACAAACATTGGAGGAGTTTGTTTGAAATTTGCATATTTTTGTGGGGACCATGTACCATCTATAAATAAGTTTAAGAAATGTTTCTTGTAAATTTGTACAATTAATCGGTTTCCTTAATGCTTCAAATGAGTTTAACCTATCCTGACAGGAAAAGGGATTATCTAGCTCGATTTCCTATTTGATGACAGTATTGTGTTTACTTGGTTTAATGCCTCCAAAGTTCTTCTAACTACTGAGGAAAATCCCAGAGATCCCAGAAATACTGTATAAGTCTTGAATTTTTACCCCATCTCTAGCTAGCCATCCAG